CCAGCCTTGTACTCTTCTAGGTTCAAAAAACTGTCGTCCATAAAATGCGTTGCACAAATTCGAACATCTGGGTTGTGCTGTTCTGTTGTAAATAAATCTTAACCAATGATTCCTAATTGCATCTACTTCCGGAAGGCCAAATAAAGTGCTTTTGCTTTCACACTGAAACACACAGGGTCTCCCTGACATGCTGCATCAACACTACTTGTTCCTGAAACCGCGCCTTCTTTCTTTGCGTGCACATTTGGGCGGCATTATGCTAATATTTGAAATCGCATCATATGACCCCTTTAAAAGGCCTTTTACTTGCCTTTTTTTACCTAAAAAATTTCAACCAGACATCAGAAAGCATGTAGTAGATTGTGTGCAAAAGGCTTTCAGCCAAGTTTTGTGTAATCATCAAAACATAAAATGATACAGGCTTTATAGGGTTAAAGAGGTGCTCCACCTGAAAAACATTTGATTTCATTACTGTTAGTCATTTGCAATTCATTTAATTAATCATTCATTTGAGTCAGTAAACTCAGGTTGTTGTCTAAAAAACTAGGTGGTATTACAGTTTTTTTTATTCGCTTTGGTAGCCTACTGTTTTCACAAGTAAAGTGTATATTTTCAAAACTCTTAGTACAAAAATCCAAACTGATCACACTTGTAACATCGCTAGTCATTCTTTTCAAAACTGATCTCATGCTTTCATTACAATTACACATATTTTCATCCACACAATCATTGTTTCAAAACATAAGCTTATTGTAATATATATTGAGAACATTTGATTTAATCACCGAAACACAACAGTATGATCTTCTTTCAATTTAGGACTTTTAACAATCAGTTCAATTCAAGAGCAAACAATGCAAGATACATGTTTCAAATCACCTTTGTTGCTGAAATAATTACAGTAATACAGGCAATGATAATTAATACAGGCATAACTGTCATGTTAGAAAATACACTTACATTAACTAACCTGCATAACTCACGTAAAATCCATAATGTTTGTAAAAGTATTTATTCTGTATGTTATCAAAAGGTGTGATGAAGGTCTGACATGGCCATAAGGTTTTGTGCTAGAACAGAGTTTACTGTTAATGCAGTAAATGTCCTCACTGTGCCATATGACTGAATCTATACTGTAACTGAATTTTTCAGATGAAGGGTGAGTTATAGTAATGTGCGGTCTTTACCATGGTAATGCCTCTATATACAATATCACATGGCATAATAGAAAATGCTGTGTTTGATGCCATCTGTCTCCCTTCTCCTGATTTTTCTTTATAAAGACATCTCAATTATAAATATGTTATCAACTAACATAGTTTTGACCTGGATGAGAGCAGCAATAACCACCCCAGGGTAAACAGAACAGAACCAACATAAATGTATTGCAGATTTCGCAGATTTCGTATCATTTTATGTACACATTTTAGAATTAGTCTGATTCCAAGGATGAATACTGACTGACAGAGGAGGAGCTGGGGATGGAGGAGGGTAATGGTAAGGGTAGCTATTGAGCAATGCGAAAACTGCTGATAATACTTAGGGACCTTATATATGAATGCTTAGATAGGTGTCGTATTCCTATAGGTAGATGGGGATCAGCTGAGAGTCAGCTGACCTAATTGCATCTACTTCCGGAAGGCCAAATAAAGTGCTTTTGCTTTCACACTGAAACACACAGGGTCTCCCTGACATGCTGCATCAACACTACTTGTTCCTGAAACCGCGCCTTCTTTCTTTGCGTGCACATTTGGGCGGCATTATGCTAATATTTGAAATCGCATCATATGACCCCTTTAAAAGGCCTTTTACTTGCCTTTTTTTACCTAAAAAATTTCAACCAGACATCAGAAAGCATGTAGTAGATTGTGTGCAAAAGGCTTTCAGCCAAGTTTTGTGTAATCATCAAAACATAAAATGATACAGGCTTTATAGGGTTAAAGAGGTGCTCCACCTGAAAAACATTTGATTTCATTACTGTTAGTCATTTGCAATTCATTTAATTAATCATTCATTTGAGTCAGTAAACTCAGGTTGTTGTCTAAAAAACTAGGTGGTATTACAGTTTTTTTTATTCGCTTTGGTAGCCTACTGTTTTCACAAGTAAAGTGTATATTTTCAAAACTCTTAGTACAAAAATCCAAACTGATCACACTTGTAACATCGCTAGTCATTCTTTTCAAAACTGATCTCATGCTTTCATTACAATTACACATATTTTCATCCACACAATCATTGTTTCAAAACATAAGCTTATTGTAATATATATTGAGAACATTTGATTTAATCACCGAAACACAACAGTATGATCTTCTTTCAATTTAGGACTTTTAACAATCAGTTCAATTCAAGAGCAAACAATGCAAGATACATGTTTCAAATCACCTTTGTTGCTGAAATAATTACAGTAATACAGGCAATGATAATTAATACAGGCATAACTGTCATGTTAGAAAATACACTTACATTAACTAACCTGCATAACTCACGTAAAATCCATAATGTTTGTAAAAGTATTTATTCTGTATGTTATCAAAAGGTGTGATGAAGGTCTGACATGGCCATAAGGTTTTGTGCTAGAACAGAGTTTACTGTTAATGCAGTAAATGTCCTCACTGTGCCATATGACTGAATCTATACTGTAACTGAATTTTTCAGATGAAGGGTGAGTTATAGTAATGTGCGGTCTTTACCATGGTAATGCCTCTATATACAATATCACATGGCATAATAGAAAATGCTGTGTTTGATGCCATCTGTCTCCCTTCTCCTGATTTTTCTTTATAAAGACATCTCAATTATAAATATGTTATCAACTAACATAGTTTTGACCTGACACTATTATTCAAGACGCAACATTGTGTTCTGTCAGGACCACTATCGTCAAAGATGATTGACAATTAGCATACAGTTTGGATTGGCGGTATGGTTCCGTTCTGGGCAAGAACTCCCTGCGCCTCCATGCAGCCTAGCCTGGATGAGAGCAGGGAGAGCAGCAATAACCACCCCAGGGTAAACAGAACAGAACCAACATAAATGTATTGCAGATTTCGTTAAAGTTCAATCATTTTATGTACACATTTTAGAATTAGTCTGATTCCAAGGATGAATACTGACTGACAGAGGAGGAGCTGGGGATGGAGGAGGGTAATGGTAAGGGTAGCTATTGAGCAATGCGAAAACTGCTGATAATACTTAGGGACCTTATATATGAATGCACAGAAAGGAAACAAACACCGCAGTGTGTCTAAAATATAACTCACTCAATGTTTTTTGAACTGTGGTATAAAGTTTGCAATCGCGCATGCGCAAATATTCGCAAAAACAGCCGGCTCTCATGCTTAGTGGCATTCTAACTACATTCTATTCTAATAGGCTTCCTCATGCATGCTTCTAGACGTGTTTTTATTTGTTTTTTGGTTTGTTTTACTCACCCTGTCTGCTGGTGCTCTGGATGGACTGAGGTTGAACATCTTGGACATGTCCTCTGAGTTCCTCTGCTGGGCCACGTCACACAGTTTGGCTGTGATGTCTATTCTCCTGCAGATGTCCATGTCCACCTTCATAGCTTTCTCCTGAATCTTGGTGTCAAGGTCGGACATTTGCTAAACAAAGATTCAAGCAGAATTCAACTCTGTATTTACATGAAGGCAATGTACACACTGCAAAATTCTGCAATTTTTGACATGGGCTATGTCAATATTTGATTTGACAGCCGTATTTATTAACAGGTGTGACTCTCGAATTGTCCATAATGAACCATATACTGTCTGTATGAGCAAGTAAACAAAGTCAGTCCCCTTTTCTTTAGTAACCATAGTGACAATGACCTAATTTAAATATCAAATATGGTCCAATTGATGAGTAAGTTAAAATATTAAGTTGCTTATTTTAAAAAGAAATATATAAAAAAATATATAATAAAATAAAAAATAGTTTTTTAAAATTAAAAATTAATGTTAATATTTTTAAATTGAAAACTAAAAAAACAAACATAAAATGTATTTAAAAATTAAATTGTAATTTTTTAAAAAATAGAAACAATATTGTAAAATAGAAAACAATATTTTTAAAATAAAAAATAAATATTGATATTTTTAATATAAAATTTAAAAAATAAAATAAAAACAAATATAAACATTTTTTAAAATAAGTGTAGACTAAGTTTAACTAAATCACTTAGTTAAAAATACACCATACATAAAAAACTAATCGTTTGGTTCTCTACACACCACAAATAAAAATGAAAATTCAAAAGAAAATAGTATTGTCACTAACAGAATTTTTCATGAGTGAATTGGTTTGGAAAATGTAGTTGTCGCATGTAAATAACTGAACTGAGTGTTTTAGCAGCATCAAGTGACAAGCGTATTTAGCTGCAGTGTGTGTGTGTGGCCATACTGTAGTTATGCAGATTCAAATCGAGAAACTCTCATTCTCTTAACAAAAACACCCAGTGCTACAGGATCATGCTAAACCATTATAATCTCATGCTGAACATCAATTATAAGATAGAAACAACACATCAGTCATCAATCAATGTTATTGCACACAGACGCTCAGACCAACAAGTTAGTCTTGTGGTAAATCCACAGGCACGCAACCAACGTGAGCAGTTAATCTCACCTGAAGGCCTCATGGGAAACAGTTGCTCTGATTTATTTATTCTGCATGGAGAAGAGGAGGAGGCCGAGCAACAAAAACATTGAGGTACACCGCCACAGAATAAAAAATGAAACAAATTCTCACAATTCTGTTTTTTTTTCTCATAACATGAGTTTATGTCTCACAATTCTGACTTTTCTCACACTTCTGAGAAAAAAAAAAGTGTGAATTTTGGACATCAAATTCTGAGTTTATATCTCGCAATTCAGAGAAGACAAGTCATATTCCTGGTTCATAACTTGCAATTACGAGATATAAAAATGCAGTTCTGAGAAGAAAAGTCCAAAATTCTGACTTTTTGTTCTCAGAAATGTGAGAACAAGAATTGTGAGATATAAACTCAGAGTGACAAGAAAAAAAGGCAGAATTGTGAGAAAGTCACAATTACCTTTTTTATGAGATATAAACTCGTAATTGTGAGAAAAAAAGTCAGAATTCTGAGATAAAAAGTTACATTTTTAATTTTTTTTGTTCCTTGGCGGAATCAAGCTCGTCACAATTCTACACAATTTATATATTTTTTCCTTGCAATTTTAAGTTCGTATCTCACAATTTGGACTTTTCTTCTCAGAATTGCAAGTTTATATCTCTCAAATGCAAGTTATAAACATGTAATAAACTTGCAATAAGAGTTTATATCTCACAATTCTGACTTTTTCTTCAGAATTGCAAAAAAAAAGTCTGAATTGATCCTTCGCCTAGAGTTTGATTGACAGGCGATCTGACCAATCATAACGCAGACAGGAGAGTAGATTAATGTCGGTGGACTTGAACTTGAAAAATGGTGTGTTTTAGCATCTTTCCACGGTTGAAACAACACCTTCTGATGTTCACTCATGTTTATTTTGTGCTATAACTACTAGTAAAGAGGATGAGATGATCGGCTCAGGTGCTGCTTGAACTGAGGAGCTACAGTGATCTGTCACCACACATTAAAGAGCCACAAAACACTATTTATTGTTTGAATTTCCTAAGAAAAGACAAAATTTGAAAGCTGAGACTTTGTTTCATGCCAAAAGTAACCTGCTCTGTCTTGCCTGTCGTCCTCTTTGCTCCGCGATGTATTTTTCACTGCGTGAGAACATGATGTGCGGCGTGAGAGCACCCTGGCTTGTCGGACGTAGCAACAGTAACTAAGGGGAATGGGTCTTTGCGATGGGTCAGTTGTGAGATAAAAAGTCATGATTCCTGTTTTAATTTTTTATTCCATGGCGGAAATAAGCTTCCATCGAAACAGATGCAAATTAAACACATCAGGGCAATTGTTTTTCCTCGTTAAATTCAGTCCACTCAGTGCTTTCACAGATCATGTCTTGCATTCTCTCTTACTTTCAGGTCCAGGATTTTCCTCCGGTTTTCTACGGCTCTAGAGTGGCTCCATCCGCCAGCCTTTGCTACATTTTGCTATAAGTTTGTTTGCATCATATAATAATTGCTGTTAATAGTGTTCATCGTCTGTTTTATTACGTCTTAAATTGATTTTTCCGTACATTTCTGCCATATGTACATTAACTGACAGTCACCCAGTTGTGAGATAAAAAGTCATGATTCCTGTTTTAATTTTTTATTCCATGGCGGAAATAAGCTTCCATCGAAACAGATGCAAATTAAACACATCAGGGCAATTGTTTTTCCTCGTTAAATTCAGTCCACTCAGTGCTTTCACAGATCATGTCTTGCATTCTCTCTTACTTTCAGGTCCAGGATTTTCCTCCGGTTTTCTACGGCTCTAGAGTGGCTCCATCCGCCAGCCTTTATGATAAATAGCGATTTCAGTTCACAGCTTTTATTGCTCCAAAACTATGATTTTTAGCGGCACACAGTGACACTCGAGTGAATGACTGGCTGGCTGACAGATGAAGCGAAGATGAGTAAGTCTAAACATTAAGCCGTAAATTCAGGTGACATCTGGATAAACGGTTTATTCATTCCTCACCATCTAGATCAGCCGGTACAAATCGAAGGCGTGTGCGTGAGATAATGATATAATGACAATGAGACTCAAAACAGAGCTCTGTTTGTGTGTGTATTGTCTCTGTGTTTCTGCCAGAGGGGAAAAGTGGCAAATAAAGCCGAGTGAGTTTCATGGAAAACAACCAGTAACAGGGTTTACTTTGGAATTAAGCTATTAAAACCTGATTGAAAAACTCAGATCCTTATCAAATGTGGTAAAAACATCATCCATCATCCATCATCCATGGACTGAAAACACATTCTTATGCTGTGATCTGAAGATGGGATAAAATAATACAATGTTACTGATCTTCATAATGAGTACAAATAGATTTGGACTTTTTTTCTCCTAAGCAAATGTCTCAAGTCTCTGTGATATTTTGGGCTCTAGATATGGAAATACTCACATCGCTCATAAGGCTCTTGAAGACCACCAGTTCAGCTTTCAGTCTTTCGACCTTCTCGTTCAACTCGTCCTGAATGGCTTCGGATTCGTTTACGTTCTGAACACACGCAAACACGAACATAAGAAAACTTGAACACACAAAGCAACATAAGAATACATTAAATAGTCTGTATGACGACACTTCACTCAAGCGGTCAGGGTTTAGCCGATTAGTTTGTTCTAGTTAGTTGGTGCATGTTTTAACTACACCATCTAGCAGCAAAAACATCTCCACTGGCAAGTATTAAAAGTAGTCATATACATTCACCAAGGCTGCATTTATTTGATCAAAAATGTGTAAAAAAA